AAATATCTATACCTAAATAATTAATTAATTATCACCTCCCTTTTTTATGTGTGTTATAACCAAATATAAACTACAATATTACTAATGTATCAATTAAATATATATAAATTACATTTACCACATTCAAAAATCAGTTAAGTTGGTGTCAAGAAATAATTGTTGCAATCTGCAAATTTAAATGCTTAAAGTGTCTTAATATAATTGTTCAGTTCTTCAAGATTCCTTCACTGAGCGCACCAGAAGTACAGAGTTGCTGAGTAATGTCTCTGATTTCACTATCTCACCACACTTTCTGCTGTAGTCATTTCTCTTTCGTTTGAAAGTTTAATAAGTCAATTTTTAGATTCAAATAGTCTCTTTCTTTAATAAATCTTCTCCACTTACTACAGCTCCAGTCCAATAATCCAAAAGGAGACTAGTAAATTATTCAATTTCGTTCGTGGAATATTTAAATTTGTAGTTTAATTCCTTACTTCAAATCTCCCCTCATCTCAAGTTCGTCCTTCCAATTTTCCCCAAAGTTCCCAATTCAAATCCTTCAAAGTTCCCTTAAATTAAATTATTGTTCTTTCTTTCTTCTTTTTTCTCTGTCCCCCAATTATTATCAGTCTCTCAGATCCCTCCGATTCTCTTATCTTCTCTGTCCGATCGCTCGTGTCCTTACCCTCTTCCATCTCATGAGCCCTTTTGCTTTCGCTGCTGCTCGTATCTGCTTTGGCCGCTGTTTTCGGGCTTTGCTCCGACTAAGATATTCCAATATTCAACGCTCAATCAGGATCGCAAATTCTTTCACTCACACTCTTCGTTCACCACAGTCTGTCACTCACTCACTTCCTCTTGTATGCAACGATCAAGGCTTTAGGACCACCATTGCTGACAGTCTCTTGTTGTCGGTCTCCACAGGGTTTCTCTAGGTCGCGATGAGAATCGCCTTTTCCACACCACGACTTGTGTCTCCCACTGGCACACTTCTCTACAAGATGCGTGCACCCCTAAGGGTCACTCCAACAGCAAGAGGAGATAGCATGAAACCCAGAGCGAGCTTCAGCACCTCCGTTCAGCACCACGCCCATATCTCATCACCGGAAGTCCCACTCATAGTCTTGATGTAGCAATGTGTGTTTATTTTGGCTTCCTCCAACAGCAGCAACAAACGGAAAGTCCAAGTAAAGCCAGCGCTGAGTGTCTGCCTCTCAGCGCTATTTATATTTCCCGTTCACCCCCCCTTTAATTAGCTAACATCCGCCCTTAGCAAAACACCCAACATTCATTTACAGCAATCTTGCGCGCTACCACCCAACCCCCCAAATAACACCTTCCCCCTCCCCAAGTGTCGTCCTTCCACCCCGATCCATTCGATATTCCCTATGTGAAATGCTGACCAGCCGAAATGACATCCTGAGGTATTTCCCGGCTGGTAAGAGTGGGAGCCGTTTTGCTTAGAGATTTGCAAAATGCCGAACAAGTGATAAGGCAGTTTCCCAGTCGGTCGCACCCAAGTGGGGAGGGGCGGTTACGCCTGGCTTCGTCGGCTGTCATTGACATCGATTCGGGACCTTCAAGGTAGATAGCTCTCCCCCAACCACAGCGACATGTCGGGCTTCATTCCTTCAGCAGCATTGTTGAAGCCCAACACTGGCCCCCCACCCTTCGGCCTCTGCCTTCCAGCAATTTGCCTCCTTGCAGCAAACACCAAACAACCTGATAAAGCTTCAGCACAGCTTGATGTAGCATGAGCAGCTGGTTGGTGGTTGGATCGGCCTCCTGGAATAGTGATGATCAGCTGTTCGAGGCTGCAGGGCTCACCGCCACTCATCGCTGCCTATCGCCGCTTCTGCACATCCTTTTTCAGCCTCCATGTGCCCCGTTTTTTGCCTCCATATGTCCCATTTTCAGCCTGTTCCAGGTGGTGGGGATTGCCACTGCCACCTATCTCGGCAGCAACAGTGATCGGCAGCAATAGGTGGTGGCGGCAATCCCCACCACCTGGAACAGGCCGAAAAGGGATGTGCGGAGGCTGAAAATGGGGTGTATAGAGGTGGCAATAGGCAGCTCCAATGGGCAGCGGCGATCCCCAGAGCCTGGAACAGCTGATCATTGATATTCTGGGAGGCCAATCCAACTACCAATCAGCTGCTTGTGCTAAATCAGGATGTTCTGAAGGTGACCAGGCTATTTGCTGTTTGCTGCAAGGAAGCAAATTGCTGGGAGGCAAAGGCTGGTTCCCCACCCACCCACTCCCCAAAAGCTAGGTGTGTCTTATGGTCTGGAGTCTTATAGTGCAAAAAATACAGTAATTACAATCACATTTTATTTTTCCGGCTTCACCCATTACTTTTAAAATCATGGCTACACACACATCAATCAGAATAGAGCTGGAAGGGACCTTGAAGGTCTTCTAGTTCAACCTCCTGCTCAAGTAGGAGATCCTATACCATTTCAGATAGGCAGTTGTAGACTCTTCTTAAAAACCTCCAGTGATAAAGCACTCACAACTTCTGGTGGCAAGCTGTTCCACTGGTTAATTGTCCTCACTGTGAGGAAGTTTCTCCTTAATTCCAGGTTCCTTATCTCTTTGATTAGTTTCCAACCATTGTTTCTTGTCTTGCCTTCATGTGCTTTGGAGAATAATTTGGCCCCCTCTTCTTTGTGGCAGCCCCTCAAACGCTGGAATATTGCTATCATGTCACCCTTGGTCCTCCCCTTCTCTAGACTAGCCAAACCCAAATCCTGCAACTGTTCTTTATGTTTTAATCTCCAAGTCTTTAATCACCTCCATTGCTCTTCTTGGTACTATTCCCAAACTCTCAGCATCTTTTTTGTAATGTAACATGGAAAGAAAGAAAGAAAGAAAGAAAGAAAGAAAGAAAGAAAGAAAGAAAGAAAGAAAGAAAGAGAGAGAGAGAGAGAGAGAGAGAGAGAGAGAGAGAGAGAGAGAGA